ATAAAATTTAAAGACTAGGCCAACAGATTCTCGGTACCAGGTCATAACTCTCTTCAACCCCACACTGCTCATAATACGAGTAAATATGGGTTTTTCCCAAATAGCAAAGCTGAGGTGGTTTTGTTTGTCAAGTGCGAATGAGCTTATAAAACATTATTATTTAAGCGTTTACACGTAAAGAGTAACGCAACCGCTAAGCAAATTTTTAAGTATTAGTGAAAAAAATTGCAACTATCGACAATGCCGAGAAGTTTAAATGAAGCATTTGGCGACACTCAGAAAAGAGAGGTGTTTCACTGTATTTTAGAAAATTTAAATACTATGGAAAATTTTAGGTGACGGTCAAATTGTTGGTGGGGATGACCCGACAAATTTTGTTTAGCGTTTTACCATCTATCTATATGTCATTCCCAAGTCCTAACATATATATAAAATTTCACAAGAATCAGTCCAGCAGTTTCGGAAAGGGGTGACCTATTTTGTCATAGTCTAGGGATGAAACGCTCAGAGAAAACATGAGAGTAACCATTCGCCGGATGAACTTGCTACAGTACAAGAGGGGTATCCTAGCTCACGCTCGGGAGGTTAAAATGTGTTTGACAAATTACCGTAATATAAACCTTTTCAGTTTTCTTGATGAATTTCTACTGACTGCTGTAAATTCATAAACGACTATTCACCAGAGGCGTGTAGTGCCAGGGGGCACAAAGGTACGTGCCTCTCTAAAATTACAACGTCTACAAACACACTGGACATAGCAAAATAGTAATTTTCAATATTTAAAAAATTATCCGGAAATTTGTGTCATAATTATCTTTTCCTTATATTTTCTTTACTTTATATATGGGTTATCATAAAAAAAGATTTTATTATTCTTCAAACAAGCCTTATTTTTTAATGTCACCAAATTTTTTTATCTCGCTCCATTTGTACAAAATGTATAAAAACTTACATCTAAAGATGTTGTGTCTTGGATATATGATACGTTGCTGAAGTGCTGATAAAAGCAAAGACCAAATCATGCCTCATTTAGACGTTTTGTTTACACCGTTGCCATGGAAACCGTGCGTCTAGCCGCGGTATTCAGCTGGAATCGGGTCCTGCTCGAACAGTGACCTCTACCAGCAACTTAGTTGCGGGATTTCATTTTCATTCATGCGTTAGTGAAATTCTTTAATTTTAAATAAAAATAATGAATTCAGTTGAATATTTATTAAAAAATGGTCCTCTGTCTTACGACGGTAAAATTTGAATGAAAAATTTAGGGAAAGTCACCCCAATTTATTAATACAAAAAGTGTTCCTGACAAAACAAGGGACTTGCGGTTGTAAAAAAAAAATTGTTTTGTTTTGTGTCTCCTCAGTAATGATTTAAACCCAATGGTATGTGGACAAGTACTTTTTTACTTTTCTTGGATATATTTTGGTATTTATTTCCGTGACACAATTTTGTCTATTAATTGGTAATAACAGCCGGTTTTATATCTTCATATTTAACTCATCAATCAAATTGTGTCCCCCATTTCAAAAGGTAAAGAGCCGCCACAGCTATTCACAGTCTATTATCCTTCATTTTTAATGGTGAAACACTGATATTGTGTTCTTCAGGGTAAATTTCAAAGCTTGGTAAACGCATTAATGCTTAACACTGCCAAAAACAGAGAATTAGGAAGATTTACTAATTTTGCAAATATAACACATTTAGAGGAAAAAATAGATTTATTGAAGTACGATCAATTTTGATATTTGCGTCATTATTTTTGTATGTCAAATTGATAAAAAGTGTGTTGTATAATTTCTATAGATACTAAGTATAAGAAAAACAATTTTGATGCCTATCATTGTTTGTAATCATTGCTACCAAAAAGACAAACTTCAATTAGAAGACTCCTTTGATCGATCAGAAAACGTGAGACGTCAAAATTCAAGAATTAACTTCGTAATTCTGATTTGTCAAATAGTTAAACATTCATAATTTAATAATAATTTGCTAGAATACGATCCACAGCATCACTTTTTACTGTTTTATCGGAATTTAAGACTGTCAATTAAATTCGCATTAAAACGTATCAAAATTACAGATTTAGTTCTTCGACTGTGAGGTTTTATATTTTCAAAAATTTGGCTCAGGGATTCTTTTAACCATTTTTTAGTTCCTCAGACCCTTCTTAACAACGTATCAACGAGCTTACATGTTATTTTTTCATCACGACGATAATTTTCAACAATTTAGGTAATGAATCAATTGTACCTAATCTAACTACATTATTTCGTCACGTATGTTTACTAACATTGGTACATATTTAAAAAAGTATACTACTCGTAGTCTCTTTCTACTCCCATATTATTGTTAATATCTTCAACCTAAGTTTCAAAAAATTCTGTAATAATCGTCCTCCACTACCGCTTGATAGCACTGTATCTTATCCGGATGAAACTTGGGAATTTTTAACGTCTTTGATAAAAGTTTTTAAATGCCGGTAACATCGGATAATAATTGACGTACCAGTTGAGCTGGGTTTATGCCAATTAAACTTGAAACTTTTATTAGTGTAGGATCACTTCATACACTTGATCGGTGAAAATCGTGTTTTCTTATACATTAACTTGCAGCTCCATAAATGAAAATAAAAGTTAGTTTTTCAGCTAATATGTACAAACAGCATTTCCAAATGAAATATAAATCGCCAACACAATTAATTGTTTTGCAAAATTAAGACATTATTTTTTCTTTGAATTTTAACAAGCACGCAAATCTGTTAATATTACGCGTTAGCACCATGTTTTGATGTTTGTGGGTTACTACTTATTCAAAACACCTTTGGAAATTTGACCAGTAAACTTTGGTGAGTTTAAAATGAATTTAGGTAGTTGTGGAACATTTAATAAATCCTATTTGTAAATAAGTAAGTATTTGTCATTTATTAAACCCGAAAGCAGAATATCGACAACTTAATTATCATAATCGCAGTCTGCTTTAATCCCATTTTAGTTTTTTAGCGGCACGCTATCAAATATTTGAGTATTAAAACACAGTTAATTATTTCCGTAATTAGTCATTTTTACAACACCGTTCCAAGTGATTAATACCCCCTAATTTATGAATGTGCATGCTCCATCCCAGAACTCGTCCAAGTAAAAATCCTTGCCTCGTCCATATTCCCAAACAACGTTACCCTGTAGCGAGTTTCGCAATAATTTTTATGAAAGTTGGCGTATTCTTCGCTGATGAAGGTAAATGGTCCTTATCAAGAAGTACGTTTCTGTATAACTGAGCCCGAATTAATATTCATTTAAAGAGAAAGCAAAAATAATATATTTTAAAATCGCATAAAGCGTTGCGATTCTGTGAAGCGCTGCAGAAGGTGGAGAGGATCTCTTTGATGACTGCTAATTCGGCCTGACTTGCCCGGATTACACTTCCCCTTGTCTCGCATCGCTCCGGCCGCCCCCGTCCCTGAATCGCCGCCGCCACCTCGTTCGTCCGCGCGATAGTTCACTATTTTCGATTAGAAAATTTCAATTTGAAATCGTACACATTTTCAACTCATCCTTCTTCCTGTCATGGGGATACATTGCAGCTGGAATAACTCAAGGAGCGACTTTGATTAACAACGTTATGTTGCTGTTTACACAAATTAGCGCGAGATTTTCCAGCGAACGTTGTTTATTAGTGTAAAGGAAAAGAGATGAAGGCGGCGTTGTGCCGCTCCTACAAAGACGTTGCATGCAATATTCAGGATTTGTGTCTGCCTGTATAAATTACGGGGATTATTGTTTGAGAAGTAAGGCAATGAATATGTGTTTTAAGTCAGTTTAAGTTAAGAATTTTACTCTCTGCATGATACTGCCACTGAAGTAGTTACGAGAAAGGCTTAAGGATAAGTTTGCATGTGAAACGAGTTTCTCTTTCAAAAAGTTCATGCTTTATTATTTAAAACTACATACACAAAGTGACGTTTGTCGGAACACAAAATCTGCAGCAGGTTTTGAATTGTACTACGAGCTGGCTGGTATTATAGACAAAATCTCAGTGAAATGGAATGAAAACTATTCGTCACAACGAAACCCAAATATTTATAATCGTTACAAAATATTAAGTTTCTCCACATCTGGATTACGTTAGCAAATCACTACAAGATTTCGAGAATCATGGGGCATACGATATATCAAAGCACCAGTTGAGGATAGAAAAATGTTGCTTCAAATAGGTATTTAAAAGAATATTTAGATGAAAGTGACGACTTCGATTCAGTATGGTCTACGTATGGAATAGTTACATCTTTACAAACCTTGTTACTTGGATTTCTGGAAAATACAGGCATAAATTCAAATTTTCTTAATACGATCTTGTTCACTGTAGCGTCATGCAAAGAAGTAATCATACAGAACGATATTTACTTCTTAAAAGCTTTGATAGACAGAATTGAAATATTTATATTTATGTTTGTTTAAAAGCTGAAATGGTTTTATTGAGCGAGTTTTGTAAAAAAATACTCCGTTTTTAATAATTTATTAGAAATGTCTGGAGATTAAGAAAAGGAATCTAATAAATAAAAAAACACACTTATAATTGTATCAGGTGACAGTGACAATAAATTTATTAACAGATTCTGAGTTTTCAAATTGCTTATTTAGAGCCGACCTCTCCGTGGCATGAAATTTTAAACATTTAAGCTATATTGAAAAAAAATGTTATACACTAATCTATAAGTTATGCGTTAATATTGCTGAATTTAGAGCGACATTCGACCTACCGAAGAGATGTTTAGTTATTAGAGCACTAGGAAGTTGGAAAGAAGCGTCTCTTCTAGAAATGTGTAAAACTTAATAAAATCGGTAACGTTTCCGAGGCAATACTATTCTTATATTCAGCCCAGAATAAAGTTGTGATTTTCAAAAATATCAACACATCTTAACATAGTTTAACACATTATGACACAGAAAATAACTACAAATTGAAATTCAGAAGTCATACGTAATTAAATATTTTAGCCATTTCTACATGCCGGAGATATCCACAACTGTAAGGTAAGGAAGCTAAAAGAGCAAAAATATGAAATATCGATAAGGAAGTTTGATGGAAGAACGTCCACTCAACCGTCTGGAGGTTATTAATCAAACGGTTGAGTGGACGTTCGTACATCAGACTTTTGTTTTTTGAGACATCCTGTATACACAATTCTAACACATAAGAGTAGACTAATAAATGACATAATGTAGAAATATTTCAAAATTCTGAGATGACGTCATCAAGTCCTTGGAAGAGACAAATAGGAAAATTAGCGATTTACGTACCATATTCACAGACCTGAAAGTATGAATAAAATTTTGGAGCAAATAGGTTCATAATTTCTGGGAAAAATTGTAAAATTTTTGTTGTACGTTCTGGTTTGTTTTTTTAAGTCTGCATGCGTAAGATAATCTGAATTAATAAACCATAAATATACACGATGATTTCAAAATGTATGCAATAAAAAAATGGGCAACAGCTCACAAAAAGATTTATTGCACTGCAGAAAGTTCACGTTTCTAAAAAAAAAATTATATAGATAGTGTTTCTTGATCTACCATAAATACCATTCAGTGAATAGCACAGAACGGCCAGTATTAAGAACCAAAAAAGCGGCGCACTGATAAGCTAGGTGCAAAAACACAATAAGGGCCAGTCATGTATCAGTTGGTTGTCGTCGTGTATTCGGTTAACCTCTTTGACATATTACTACCGTACGTGATACCGTGGTTACAATTATTGCATATATTTCGAAATCACCTGTATAATCCTATATTTTTTAATAAATTGTGCACATTCTAAACAGGACTTACTTCTCAAGATTGTGAGATGACGTCATCAAATTTTTAGTGAGGATGAAGGAACAAATTTTGGTTAACACTTCACCATATAGTGGATAATCCTAAAGTATAACTAGGAGCTCACAATAGTATTTTCGAAGAAAACTGATTTAATAAAATTGCAACAGGTAAACGACATACAGAAATCCACAAAAATATCAGCTTAAAAATACAATAGTAGAATTGTTGACACTTCTCCTATAATTAGAATTTTATCACTCTTAAAACCACTTTCAATTCTGTATATAACTTTCTATTTTGCTTGATAAATATAGCTGTGGATCTGGAATATAATTCTAGCGGTAATTGATATAACTGCCATAAATGTCAATTATTAATGAAAAGCTTTTATATTTCTCGTGTATGCGTAGTAAAGTGGTATATTTATTATGAATCGTTGTTTTTCGCTTTTAATAAACACTAATCGATTTAATGTAAACTGCGTATATTTAATTAAAACTATGCAGTAACAACTCTCATTAAAATTTACTTACATTAAAACATTTCCATTAACACCTTGAAAACAACAACAGTTAAATATTCATTTATCTAATGAACCAACGTATGAGCAGTATCAAACTCGTAGAAATTTCGGTCATATTAACAAATTAAAATTACTCCGTAACTCACTCTATCGGCAACTCGGAAACGTTGATGTCAACCTAATTAAACGTAAATGGCTGTATTGACTCGATTCGAATGAACAAGGTATTTATGAAAGGGTCTCCTTAAAAGCTCTCCACCAACAAACACACAGAAAACTTACCATAAAGAGCATCAAAGACTCCTCAACGCAGATCAAAAAGATTTATTATGCGATATGATTTTATTCATTTCAATTCCGAGGACGTTCTCAGTGCACTTCATCATATCCCAGGCCACAATATCCGTCCATTTGAGCTGAACTTTATACCCTGAAATAAACATGGAATATAATAATTGGGGGCAGGTCTCGCGTGGAATTCCGGATATGCCGCCATTGCTACGCGACGTCTCTCTCATTATTCCGTACGCCGAGACTGGACTGGGCACCCGGACTTCCGGAGCCATGCCGAAATGTGCTCGTCCCACAGACAATTTACCACATAATAAGTTTAGAAATTGCTCGTGGAAGGAAAGATGCGAGGAGACGTCAGAATATTTTGTAATAATTTTGCGAATATGTCAGTAGGGGAGAGTGGAAAGCGTTTGACCGTTTAAATTCGCGGTCCTGTTTCCCACTTACTATAAAACTAAGTTTATAATCTTTATATTGTATTTAATCTAAAGGATGCCTGGTTTTGTTTGCACAAGTTGGTTTCCGGAATTACAGTTTTCGCAGAAAGAATATTATTGCAGTTTCAATTTCCACTGGGTCGCGATAAAGGAGCTGTGGGTATAGGTTCATATGTAGCCTTTGCGTTGTAGTAGTAGTAGTAAATTTTGACACGATATTATATTCTGTAACAGGAAATAAAGTAGCCTTTTAATGCGCATGTGTGAAATTTTGTATGAAAAGGAAATAATGAAATTGTCAATTTGTAAAAGCACAGCCAATTTTTGTCTAAAACCATATACGGTGGCTAAAGTTTCGATTTATAACAATTTTATCAGAAACACGAAAAATGAGAGTCTGTCATGTAAGATGGTTTCAAAAAATACTAAACAGCATATTAAAACATTGTGTTGGTTCATTAACGATTTTTGTAGACGATGGATTTTGAAAAATTTAATCGAAACAGACAAAACACAGTCAGCGCACAAGATTAAGTACTTAAAATTAAAGGTAAAAGTCGTTCCACAGATGGTCTGCATGTTTGCACTGGATAAAAATATACAAAAAGTCACTGTCTTTTACAAGTTTTTAAGACTGACCAAATCACAAATAAACATATAAAACAAAATTTGAGAGAAGGCCATAACTATAAGTCGAAAAAGAACTTCTAAAGGAAAAGAACACAATGAACGGTAAACATTATAAAGAGAGAGACAAAATTATGGACATCGTTCCTTGGTTTTAATAATAATAATGGTGGTAAATATTAAATTCATCAATAACATTTACACGAAAATCGGTCACTTCATGAACTTTAAGGCTCAAATTCTCTTTACTCTAGCTAGGAGCTGCTAAAATAAGACCGATTGTGGCAAATGAGATACCCTCCTTAATTATTAATATGATATATTAAAAAATAAGTTTGCAGTTAATTAGGGAGAATTTCATGGCCCCTGAAGTACGTTACAACAAGTCCAATTTATAAAATTTTATTATACAAATTTACATGATAACTCAAACATGCATGTTAAAATAAAAAGTGAAACGAGTTATTAGACTACGTGTAAAGATATGTACTAGTGTCTACTATATGTTTCAAAGCGATTTTCTTATAAAAAAAAAAACTTCTGATGACGTCATCCAATTTAATTATAACATCAATTCTGATCTAGACAAGGTAGCACTAGTAAGAACAGTACAGTGCTCCCAGAATTTATTATTAATTAAATATAGTTATTAATAAAAACCATCGCATTTACTTACAACAACCATTTACACAATAAATTTTTGAGATAACATCATTGAGATCTACAGGGGATAAACAGGTACAGTTTCAATGATGTTCTGTAATTAAATAAATGTTAGTAACTTGTCAAAATTTTCAAAAATGTTCGTTATGTAGATTCTAAGACAGAATGTTAAGTTATGAAAAGCTATGAGGCTAACTCTACATTTCTACAATATGATTTGAACTCATTAGTTTAGCCTTTAACTATGAAAATTTTGATATTGACACTGAAGGTTATGAAGAGGGACCCACTGTTGTCTTCTTTTATTTAGATATTTATTTTGACAAACCGTTATCTTCCTATTACTTATTTATTGATGAAGTGACTAAAGTTAATTTAAGAAAAATTTCAATAGACGTTGGTGATATGCGTACAATCGTAATTTTATTTTTCTATAGACCTTTAACTAATTTTAGGGCTGTCCAAATTATTAAAGCTCCAGAACAAAACAAGAACGCTTTTTGATTTGTCAACAATGGAACAATGGAAATTAGATTTATACTGGATATGCAGGTTTATGGTAACGATTTTATCTACTTGTCAATAATTGCTAATATTTGATTTATTCTAGGTCCCAAAAAACAAACGAACATCATTGAAAAGATCTATTTGGTGTAATTTTATTTTTATTCCAAGTAATGTCAAGTTCGTTGTTAGTGTATATCCCGGCGCATCCACCATTTTTGTAGTAATGTTCAGAGCAAATCAGAGCTGCTTGTAAATTAAAAACTTAATTTGTAAATTAATTGTAATTAATTTTCTACAGAAAATTCCTAACACGTTGATAATATGAAATGTGATGGGCGCTAAACTAAACTGCCAACCGAAACTTTGTCGCAGAGAGTTGTAATTAATTCGTTTTTCGTATTTTCATCTAGAGGATTATTTTGTTTAATGTAACTGAAAAAAAGAAAATAGTTTTAAAAAATATTGTGACTTTATTCAGAAGTTATTTTAAGCTTTCCTATATAAAACGGCTTATGGATAAATCTGTGTAAATTTATTCAAGATATTGTATTATTCTTCAGCTTTTATTTATTTATTTATTTATTTATTTATTTATTTATTTATTTATTTATTTATTTATTTATTTATTTATTTATTTATTTATTTATTTATTTATTTATTTATTTATTTATTTATTTATTTACGACTAGTCCAGAATCAACTTATGATATGAACACGTCAGAATATAGGAAATCATACACGAGAGCGAAATTTATAATTTAAAAGATTTTATGAATTCCTCAATGCTATAAAAGCAATGAAGTTGTAGATAGCATTTTAATTCTAGTTTAAAATTTCTGATAGGCAATATTTTAAATTTGTCAGGTAGAAGATATTATAATTTTATTGCCATTACTTTTACAGAACTGTGTCTTTGTTAACTTACAATATGGAACTAATAATTTATTTGCGTTTCTGGTGGAGTACACATGATGAGATGAGTATTTTGGAAATTTATGGGAATGTAGATGCGCATGTAATAAAATTTGAAATAAGTATATGCAGGGCAGTGGAAAGATTTTGAATTTTTTGAAAAGCGGCCTACATTTTCTGTACTAGCGAATATTCTTGAGAACTCTTTAAAACGTTAGAAAAATTAAAAGTAATAACCACAATGAAATTGTTTACATAGTTATTTTTAAGTAGCATTTGCCTTCGATTAATGAAACTTCTTTAACACCAAAAATCTAATCCCACATGTTCTAAATTTCTCAAGGTCAATCCAAACATCATCTTCATGAATGTGCGATAAAAAATTCAGGGCAAAATATTTTTTAATATCATTCACATTTTGTTGTAACATTGCATTTTTGTTAAACAATTCATCAATTTATGATAAGATATTTACGAGGAAAATCGATCAAAAAATTGTTTACATTCGTAGGTATATAAATGAAAATAATGAGAACTGTAACGTTTTTCATCGATACGTCTGTGCCAATTTTTGTTAGACAGATAATCTCCGAAACTACCGAACCAATTGTTGTCAAATTTTATATGTGTATTATGTGCATCATATAGATGATAAAACGGTAACTTTGTCTAATCATCCCCACCAACAATGTGATTACGTCACGCCAAAATGGTATTTAATAAATGGGTTTTAAATTGTATAAAATAACTTAGTCCTATACGTGTAGTTTAAGAATCCATGTTAAGTTTTTACCAGAGACACACAGATTTTGGAAAAACATCAACATTTTGCAAATTAATTTTGAATCTGCTAAACCGAATGCTTTGAAATCTTGCACATGTTTTACAGTTATCATAAGCATGGTAAATTTTTCATCAAAATATAACTGTTCCCCAAAAAATTGGTGACGTCATCTCAAAATTTTGCCCAATAAACCCTACCTAAAATGTGCAAAATATAATGAGTTTATACTTGTGATTAATAAATAATTGCATTAACATTTTTTAGAGGTGCTTATAAAGGAAATTTTCGAGAAGTGGGATGAGTCATTCTTGATTTGATCAATAAAATAGACTGAATAACATGTATTTACTATTGCAAATTTTGGAGATGCTGTGATCACATTTTTGGTAGGGATAATTAAACAAATTTGGGTGAACGTTTTACCATCTACACGAAGCTAACATACATATTATAAAGTTTCACAATAATCGGTTCAGTAGTTTCGAAGATTATCTGTCTAATAAAAGTCGACACAGACAGTGGACAGACAAACAGACAGACAAATAGACGGAAACATCGAGAAAAGTGGCTAGTCGTCTCATGGGCTCGAGTACAATACTTCTTCTCAAGCTTCTCAAGAAGTAAAAATGTATAAAATTAATATTTACTAGCTGAATGGCTAATGAACTCATTCAGACATTTAGAACAACCAAAAGGAAATCTAAAAACCAGTTTGTAGAATATTCTAATTGAGATTAAGTTTACCAGTTATCACGCATTTAATGAGGCGTTTAGCGATGTATGGCTTAGAGTCGTTTGCGGGGTACTTTAATGCGGTATTAAAAATTTAATCGCAATGAAATATTTTAATTATTGAGCTTCTGTAAACCGGCTCTGTATGTGTAATATCCAATTAATGTAAATTAACTGAGATGCCCTCGCACTAATTTCTACCTTATCAACAACGTTTACACAAATTTACTCAAATTGCGAATTTATTAAAATAAAACTGCAGTTGTAAAAAAATTAAAAATAATAAGTTCTGCAGTGGACTGAAAATAATCCTAATGCTTAGTTGCTACCTGATATGCCGACTTTAATTTTATTGATAATTTAGTCTAGCTAAATTCCGGGTAGGTATAACCTAAGTCCAATACAACCTATAATTTTAGTTCAAGAATGAATCGATTACAAATTTTGATGACAGGATAAATCCGTGGCATAAAC